CCTCCGGTGTTTGCGTCCTCCTGCCTGGCTGTGCCAGCTGCGCGCCGACGAGGTTGCGGTGGCAAACGTGGGCAGAAAGCTCACTGAGGCCGGGGCTGGGGGTGCGTGGCGGCGGGGTGCCCGGGAGAGTTTAGAAACCTTTATTGGCAAAGTGGAACTGGAGCTGTGATGGAGAACGGAGAGGGCGCCGGACAAGCCAGGTGTCTGCCTGTGACTGTGCACCCCGCCTGAAGCAGACGGGGATGGGGGCAGTGGCAAGGGGTCGTTCCGGAAGGGTCTGCACACTTGCTGGTGGATGCTGGACAGGCTAGCCTCTGGGCACCTCTGCTAGCGCGTCGGTGGCGCGCGTTGAGCCTGGGAAGGGAAGTGAGTCGGAGTCGCTGGGTGCCTGTCTACTCAAGCGCGCAGGTGTCTCGGAAGGAAGGTGCTGGCGCTGGGTGCCGGCCGCACAGTGCTCAGCACGCAGTTGAGGCTCTGGGAGCGAATCTCAGCTCTAGCAGTCGCGACTCTGGAGGGTTCATCCTGGGGGCGCCGCACCGGGAGGGGAAGTGAATGCTACCGAAACGCAGTCGCAGCTCCTGGGCCACCCCCTCATGACCGCGCTGCAGCCTCGGGCTCCAGCGCGCCGCTCATGCCTTGCAGGAGGCAGCTGGCGAAGGGCAGAGTTCGGGATGGAGTTGAGGGCGCCGAGTCCTGGCTTCCGATGCACGAGCTAACTGGGTCCGGCGAAGGGCTCAGGTCGCCACAGTGGCCCCGCGCGTTTCCCTCCCTGTTGATCTTGCTCTGGCTCCCGCCTTCCGAAGTGGCTCGGAGTGGCGAGCGCGCTGCTTTGCTGCGCCCTTTTATACGGTATTCCTTCCGCCTCCCACCCCTTTTTCCTCTCTGCCTCCTCCCCTGGGCCGACCCAGCCCGCCCCTCCCGTGAGCCCAGCCCCAGTCTAGTCGTTCGCACGCATCCATTTTACACATTTCCACGCCCATCCCATATCCCGGACCCCAGTGCTCCAGGAAGGATCCTCAAGATTCCTCTTTGGTGAATGAAATGATATAAACCAAACTTCCTTGCCGACTCGCCGTCCCCCCTGCCTTTTCTGCTTCACTTCTTGGAGTCCTTTAAACTGCTGTAAAATTCTTAATCCCACTACCTTCTGAGTTCTCACCTTTACACAAGGCACTTCTGCCAAGTTGTACCCAAATTAAGGCAAGAAGCTCTTTGACCATTCCGAAAATTTCTCAGTCAACATGGCGTTTTGCAGAATTTATATAGTGGTGGTTAAGGTATGGCGCGCTGGTTGGGTTTTTAAGTGTGGGAGGGTCTGGTAGGGGGACGAAGGGCTCACTGCCCCCTTGAAGGTCTTTATAATTCTAACCAGTCCCAGCGTCTTATTAATAAGTTAGCAGCTGTTTTCAGAGCACGCGATCTCTTTTCCACTTAAGTATTTTTTTGGGGAGAGGGCCTGGGCAGGGAAGTGCTTGCTTTGGATTTTCAAACGTTCCTTCTGTCAGGCATCTTATTGTGATCTCCCGGCTCTAAAATGCCAATAATTGTCAACTGGAGCACTGGGGGATAATTTGAAACAATAAACCGACCCTGGTTCAGATGTGAGATCAAAGAGGATCCCAGCAGCTTTCAAATCCCACGAGGATCCTCCTGTGTGTTTTCTAATTAGAATCATTTAGGAGGGGGGTGGGGAGAAGGCAGGAGAATCCGTGCAGGGATGGAATATATAAATTAAGATGGCAAACTGGGACCCTGTAGTCAAGGAGAGCTTAAGGATGATTCGAAGCTCCAACGGTGCCAGATCGCGAGGGGAGGCGCGCAAGGACAAGTGACTTTCGCGTTGCCAGAGGCAGGCTGTTCTAAATTAGCCTCCAAGCGCGGCTGTGTCCTGCCTTTTCCTCATGCTCAATCCCCACATGAGAGCCTGAACTGCTTCTCCTCTCATCTCAAAGTACCATTTGGGGATCCTAAGGAAAATAACTTAAAAACAAACAAACAAAAAAAACCTCTGGAAAGAAATCTGGCAATGAATGTAAAATCTCATAAAATTGTAAATGGGGAATTTGGAGATCAAAGTCTGTGAAAATGTTGTAAAAATTGTAGATTGAATTTTGGGGCAGATGTCTTTATTCAATGTTGAACAAATGTATGAATGAATCTTATTAAAATCCCTTCACGCTGGGAGATCCAGATTCCAGGTGAGTTTGCCATCTACTAAGCACACATAGCTAGTATTGATAAATATCCCCACTCTGTGAATAAAACTGACAAATAAGGTGGCCAGCAATGCTCTGCTCCTGAGGAGTCAGAGAACCTGGTTTATTACTTTTGTGGAAAAAGAGTCATGACTTTCACAACCTAAACAAATTCAGTTTCAGGCACGTTTATGAAACTATACCAACAGCTGGTCAAAGTTTTTAAAATGCTGCCTCCTTCTTCAGAGTTCTCCGAGTACCTTATTCCTATCATTCTCATTGATCTTGCTAGGCCTGAGTAGAATGTATCTATTTGTATGGGCGCTTTCTTACCAGACCTGGATGAGGATATTCCTTGTGACAGAACACTTCAAAGCATCTACTCTCCCAGTACGTTTTTTTCCCTGGGTTGCCAGCTAGAGGACATTTTTCAGCCACATTTGGATCTAGGTGGATCTGTGGAGAGCTGTGTTACTTCCATATCTGGCTGTAAAAGACCTTGAGTGATTACCTATCTGCACTCACTCCTTTCAATATGGCAAAGGACTTTGAAGTCCAAGGAGCCCAAATCCGAGAGAGTTATTAGACCAGGAATATCTACAGTTTTAACCTTGTGCAAGCGAGAAATAAAATTTTATTCAAAGACATAATTTGGGAGATACTTGCTCAGCAGTTAATATGAGGAGTCTTCCAAGTTTTTTGCATCAAATAAACTTGTATTTAATTCTATATTTCATGAACTTTTGAAGCCCCCTGGTGTGACCCACTCTGGCAAGTACAGTCTGGACAGCTGTGTCATCATAATTCTATTTTTAGAACTGTCCACAATGTCTTTCAAAGAGTAGTTGCTCAATCTGTGTTTTCTAAAATGAGTATAACAAATCTGGTATTTATTTAGACCCTAAATGATGAACTGACTTTCCTTAGAATGCTCTTAATATATGTGTCTTAAGTATGAGTTTTGCTAACTCTTCTGCCTCCTGACTATACTATTCTTTCATAGATTTTTGCCTTTTATCATTAGTCCCATATATTATAGGCAGTCTTAATGTAACTAAAATATTTATAGAAAGGAGAGAAACCAACAAACCAGAACACCTATATTTAATGTCATTAAAGAGAATCGTGTGTATTATGGTCAACAGTTTTCGTTTTTTAATAAAGACTGGTGCAAAATAGCAAAGAAGAGTTTTAGTATAATTTGTATGAAAAGTTTTAAATATATACAAAGATAAAGAGAATAATATAAGGAATCCCAACATACCTAGCACCCAGCTTAAATAAAACTTGGCTAATCTGATCTCATCTATAGCCTCATGAACTTCCTCTCAGTTATTTTGAAGCAAGTCCAATACTTCACACCATTTCACTTATATCTCATAAAGTTAAAAACTCCAAATTCATTCTTTGTCTTCTTTTCCTAGACGCTGCTTGCACTCACCAAAGAGACAGGGAAAGTGAGAAAGCACTCCTCACTGGGCAAGGTCGTACTCCTATCCCTTCATTTCTCTCTCCTTTTGGGATGTTGGGCATGTACATGCATTCTCCTCGTGTGTTTCTCAGGCTGCCAGGTCTGGAACTTGAATACACAATGTTGGTTATGTAGGATCCAGTTGACCCAACCACCAGGCCATGGAGCAGGCCCCTAAAATAATTTTTTTACACATGTGCATATTGTATGTGAGCTTTAAGACAGAAGTGAGAAGTCACACCCAGGGACTTGCTTTCTGAGTGTAAGAATGATGACCCTTTCAGGATTGTCATGGAGATTATTCTTAGTACACCAAAACCTTTTCTTCTTCTTAGGTATACCAGTAAACTACCTAAAACCCTATGAATTTAGGTATAGCAGTATGACAGAGTTCCAGCAAATAGAATGAGGGTGGACATGATGTGTGCTGCTTCTATATCCACCTTGTAAACATCTGTGCACAATTGATCCTCTTTGCCTTGTCTGGTGGCAAGGCTGTTACTTCCCAGGGCAACCATGCAGTAACTATCAGCCTGGGTCCTAGAGAAGAGCACCTACCTCACCTTTACCCCTGCACTTACACACGCTGACTGGGCTGTGTAATTGAGAATTAAGCGTTATTGTTGTTGTTGTTTTTCATGTGTTAAGCCATTAAAATTTCAAGGAGCTTGCATTGTCCTAACTAATACTGGGGCAATGCTCTGAGTG